CGATTAACAGTCCTTCAAGAAGTAAATTAAAACGTCTTTCTTTAAAGCCACTTAAAGACCTCTACAGAGCATTCCTTATTTCTACCTTTGTTAATATTTTCTCTCTGTATTCCACTTTAAGTGAAAAAAACATGTCACGATTACAAAGAAAAGTTTCATTTTCAGTGATCACCACTCCTCTCTCTCCATTCAGTGCTGCTGTTCTCAGCTCTAACTAGTAGAATCAGATTTTTGGGAATGCATAATGTCCCAGACCAATGCCACTGTTTCCATGGTTACATTTGCAGTTGTTTTAGTTGCCTGCCTGAATTATTCCATATTTAAGAGCTCTGATCATCAGGTTATCTCAGCTAGCATTGGGGAAGGGGAGCACTGATTTAAAACCTCCACCTTGTCAAATGTGTGCTTTGACTGATCTTGATTCTGAAGAGCTGAAGTTTTTAACTGTATGAAACATCTTTNGTTTTACCTGGAATCTGCTGTAGCCACTCTCCCAGTTTGGGGGTCACAGCCCCCAGTGCTCCAATTATCACTGGCACCACTGCTGCTCTTACTTTCCACATCTTTTCTAGTTCCTCCTTCAGCCCTTGGTATTTCTCAAGCTTTTCTTGTTCTTTCTTCTTGATGTTGCTGTCGTTTGGAATTGCCACATCTATTACTATTAAGAGGCCATGTTTAATAAGTAGTGATTTTTGTACATGTTGAGGTCAGGGTGTGAGAGTTACAGTCTCGTTGACCGTCCAGGAAGTAGACTAGGCCCAATAGCTAACAGGCTGCAGTCACTGAGATCAGGGAACCATGTAGTGATCCTTGTAGATCTTTGCCCACTGGTCACCACCAACGCGTTCACATATATATAGGCCCTACCACTTCTACCCTACCTCAAAGATAAGAATAATTTTAACATAGGGCATGTGAGTGTCATGAAACATTTAAGACACATGCCGGTTCAATGATCCCTTTTTTTTGATAATCTCTTTTCATGGGGATATTGGCTCTGCTTTTTTGTAGATGGATGCAGCAGTTCCACTCTTCTATATTAGAACCCTCTTCCTGCCCTGAAGATGGAGGAAGATGCAAAACCAGAGATGGAGCTCTGACTGCCAATCAGTTCAGCTATGCCACAGGTAAGACTGAACATCTCCAAGCCGAGCTTCCTTCAGTTCTGTATTGAAATGTTTTCACATCTTTAATTTAAAAAGGTGTAATGCTTTTTTTTCACAGAACTGTTTTTAAAGCTGGTTTAATCCCAGCATCTGTGTCCACCCTAAACACTCGTTGAATGTGCTTTGATAAGCTTCAGTTTTCAACCCTTTGTGCTAAGTTTGTTGAACCTGAAAATTTCCATAAAACTGGTTATAATTTTAAGCCATTAAAAACAAAGAGATGAAAGAAAGCCATCTACATTGCTGATTTCAGTTCAGAGGGACAGGAAGGTGAATCAGAGCCACAACCATCTGAGTTCCCACCGTCCCCTAAGTACAAATGGTTTGAATGCCCCTTTTAAAAGAATAATATTAAAAAAGTAACTGTGAGAGAACCTTAGTTATAAAGTTTTTAAAAATGTCTGCACTAACTAAGTGATCTGCGGTGGCTGCATCCACACAAGATGACGGTGTCTTCCCTTGATGGAGGAAAAATTATATAGTGGGATTAAAATGTGGAAAAATAAAGTACAATAAATGATATTAAATAAATGCCATAAAGTCAATCAGCCGGGTTCCTTTTAAAAGAAATCT